GCCTCTATCATAAATCTTTCCCTCCACACTTTCTATTTCCTTTTATTGCTAGATGACAGGCATCATGGGTTCCGTTATCCAGCTCTTCATTTCCAAATGGCATCTCGATATGAGGAAAACCTCATAGCTGATATTAGTATTCGTAGGGCTGTTCAATTGAATATACTAAAGTACAGTTTCACCTCCATGAATATATATAAATATATATATATATACATATATATAATCTTCAGTGGCTTTTGAAAAACATCCAAGATACGTATAGTTGCATTTAAATCAGGTTATAGGACTAAGACTTGTTTTACAACAAATGTAAGACTTACTGGGAAAAATAAACTTTTCGTGGTATTAAACTTGCTTTGACATAATTGCGAGGAGGCTAGAAATGGATGATGGGGGGATTTTCCTATCGTTTTTCTATTTTTCTTGTCATAGCTTGAGGAAAGGTAAAAAATTTCCCCTGTTTTGTGTACATCACTAGCAGCTCATATGAAGGCCAACCCTGTAACCTACAATGTAAGATAGAAATCCAAACGGAGGTCAGAAGGCAACTCTCCGCTATCGCATTGAACCTATCTTGATAGGTCAAAATTAATGTTCGAAACATTAGGAATAAGGATTAAATGGCCAACAGTCATTACTGAATCATTAACCCCTTTTTTCATATTATTTGTTTGTACACAAATCAGCAGTGAAGTCCAGATCACATCCCACTCTTATAAATTTCTGCTCATTTATGTTAAAGCCAATTGCTATAACTGATTAACACGATCAAAACCAAAAGTGAAACGAAGCAAAAAAAAAAAAAAAAAAAAAACATAATTAACATTATCAATCAGCGACTGAAGAGAGAACTTCCAAACAACCAAATCAAGCTCCGTTAGCAGACATATTATAAGGAGGAAAGAAAGGTAAATCGTGAAAACGGAGAACCTTGAAGAAAGATCGGTGCCGGAACTTGGCGTTGTCGTAGTGAATATCTTGCGTTGAATATGGCAAGGAATGTGACATGCTTGATTCGGCAATCAGCTAAGGATCGTCAGGATCTGCTCTTCTTCGCGCCCGAGAATTGTGCCCGGGAAGAGACGGAGAAGGAGAGAAATATAAGGATGTAAGAATGCGAAAAAATATAGGATTCCGACGGGGAAAATTTCCGACCGGCAGCGGTTGAGACAGAGAAGGAAGACGAAAACGCGGAGGATATTTGGGCTTTTGGCTATTCAAATCAGTGAAATAATTGGCCTTCGAGAGTTTTCCACTTCTTGGCACGTCCTCTGTCCGCACGTTGAACAAAATGGATCACCTCATGGAAGAATACACTTGACCATACTTGGAATATGAAGATGGTATACTGAAATTTATTAAAAAAATATCAAGGTAATAGTTATTATTTTATAATATTTAATTTAATAAAATTAAAAATTTAATTTACTAATATTTACTAGAATTATAATAATAGATTAAAATTTTAATATAAATTTTTTATTATTTTAATATTTAAAATTCATGTATAAAATTTTATACATAAATTTATTTTATATGTTATCAGCTCTCACCATCATCATCATGCCTTTCAATCAAAATTTCTTTCTCATGTTGATAATCATCTTCTTTGTATTTCTTTTCTCCTTCCCCTCACCTTCGCTGTCCCATCAAACTGTAATACCCCAACGATGTCGTCCCACCAAAACGCTATTCACGTCTGCGCCTTCTTCTGGTTTATCATACACCAAGAATACGCCGCCGTTAGTCTTTCTAAGACACCAACTTATCATGGTTCAGAACAAGGAGAGCAAGTGGAAGATGATGATGGTGAAGAATAAGAAGAGGAAGAAGAAGAAGACATCACCCAAGACTAGGCCCTTCTCGGTTATGCTTCCCAAAGGTCTTGTCCCTCCTTCGGGTTCTAACTCTCCTTGCCATAACAACTATCCACATTTCATTAATCATAACTTCTACCCCTGCCATTTTTATTCCTCTAAGCCCTGATCAGTTTTGCCATATAAGATCTACGCTGATGATCTTTATTTTGGAGTTTCTTGCACTAATCTTTCTTCAATCTTGGTCACCTTGGGGCAATTCTGCTCTCTCTCTCTCTCTCTCTCTCTCTCTCTCTCTCTTTTGTAGTTCTTGATCGATTGAAAAGTTGGATTTGTATGTGTGTAAACATATGGTTAGTTGATCTCTGTAATAAAGAGTTTACAGATAATTGCAGTTGAATGAAGAAGAAGAGTTAATAGTTCTGGGTAATATTTCTTTACTCAAAAGAATTCAACAACAGTAGAGATGCTTTCAATCTTCATCTTCCTTTAATCTTCTAGTCAATGAGAATCACATTCTGCATTTCGTGGATTTTTCTATCGGAAAACAAAAATATCATCACATATAGTTATGTTAATATATGTATATATATACGCAGTAATTTTGTAGCTCGTTGCGAAATATTAAGAACTAATTATAAGAAACACGTGCGTTTTTAAGTAAACGGTTTGACTTTCTTCGTCTTTCTCATATTTGTTTTCTGTTTACACACTTTGATCTCTTGATTTTCGAAATCTATCAACTGATGTGCGTTAGTGGCCGGAGACGTACTCTTTTGAAGGGCATTAATGGAGATGGCTTAACGATAGATACGGATTGGCCTTTAGATGTTTGTGTCTGGACAACATCTGATACATTAGGCATATTTGTTTTTTCATTGCTTCGGTGATGGTCAATATCGTAATGTACATACCCAGTATACTTCATCCATCTATATGTATGTATATGTATACGTACGAGCGTGTGATTTTCATTCGAGCAGCAGCCGAGAGAAGTGTGGAGGAGGCATGTGAAAATGCATCGTTTGCAGGACTCTTGTTTCATGGGTCGTGGAAAGTTTCGTGGCGTGTACTCCATGCTTGCATGCAATGGAAAAATTATGAGACGTACTTGTCCAGTTTTATTAAACAAAAGCATGTATGTATGTATACACACGTGTATATTTAGTTTATCTAGAGATATATATATATATATATATATATTATATGGCGTTTCATTCATGAAATACTTGAATGTTCTCCACATGTTAGTGATATACTATACGTTAGGCTTGGTACAATGTTGTTCTACAAAATCGATTAAATATTATCTTCATTGAAATAATTTTGAATAATTTTCCTGTTTACTATATACATAATCAGTATAATTTTTGTTCTAATTTAATCCTCATTTTTGTTAACAAAGCAGATGCGAGAATAAACATGGCATTCTGTAATTAGAATGTAAAACTCTGGATTAATTTTCTAACTGATACGTGTATTAATATTACATCTTCCTTTTAAAATGCCAAGAAGAGAGGTCTGATACTCTCTTTTTTTTTTTTTTTTATGTTCTTTCTTTCTTCTTTCTTGGAAATGTCTCTGAAACCGAATATCAAACACCTTCCCTCCATTTTTATGACTTCACTTGAATCCTCTCGTTCCCCTCGCTTTCTCTCCTCCTCCCTCCTACCCCACCAAAATCAAATCCAGACCCAAGATCCTTATTCTCTGCTCAAACAAGATCCAGTAGATATCTGGCTCTCTCTCTGGCTCAAATCCTTCTCTTCCTCCTCCTCCTCCTCCACCTTCTCCAACCTCTCTGGTTTTCTCTCTAAGTTCGACCTTTGGGTTCTTGCCTATCAGCGATGCTGCGCTCATGTTACCGGAACTTTTCCTCCTCGCAACGCCATTCACTCTCATACTCTCCACTCCCTTCTCTCCCTCCGCGATGCCGTCACCTACAACCGCTTCCACTGGAACGACAAGCTCCACCAGCTCATCCGCAGCCCTAACGATAAGACCTCATTCGGGGTACCCATCTCCAGGTCCAAGCACCGTCGCCTTCTCGAGTCCCACCAGCCTTGTTTCCAGGATCGCGTGGTTCAGGAAGTTCTGCTCATGGTGCTCGAGCCGTTTTTCGAGGCTAGGTTTTCTCCCAAGTCACATGCGTTCAGGCCCGGGAGGAATGCGCATACGGTTATCAGGACTCTCAGGAGTAATTTTTCTGGCTACTTGTGGTTCTTGAGAGGTGACTTGAGTGAGCTTCTCGACGATGTGGATGCTAATCTAGTGATTGGTTGCGTGGAAACTGTTGTTCGAGACAATAAAGTTCTGGGCTTGATCAAATCCGCGCTTAAAGCGCCGTCTAAGAGGAGATCTTCTGATGGTAATAATGCTAAAGAATCGAGTAAAGGGAACAAAAAGACCAAGGTGAAGAAGATTTTGAAGGAGAATGAGCGAAACCAGATCCGTACTGGCTGAGAACCTTCTTCGGTTTGCGCCAGAGGAGGCTGCGAAAGGTACCCTCTTATGGATATTGCGGGATTTTGAGTCCTTTACTTGCTAATATATGTCT